CTGACCTTAAGGTTCGCAGCCCGATTCGTAACCACTACGCTACCAGAGATCCTTAATCAAAACAACAATAAGATACCATTAATAGCAAAGTTAAAAACACAAACAAACAACAAACACTGATTAGGGTGTGGAGACTGAAACTCTTATACAGTTCTGGTGGGACTATAAGATGGTTGAACCACTGTGGAAAACATCACAACACTTCCTCAAAAAGTTGGAAATAAAGATACTGTGGTGGTGGTGGTGTGCCATAAAGTCTATTCGACTCATAGCGACCCTGCATAGGGTTTCCGAGGCTGCAATCTTTATGGAAGCAGAAAGTCTTATCTTTCCACCATGGAAAGGCAGGTAGTTTTGAACTGCAGACTGAGGTTAGCAGCCCAACTCACAACCACTGTACTACTCAGCATTCCCACTTCTTCAAAAAGTTGCAAATAAAAATACCATATGACCCAGCAATCCCTCTGGCATTGTTGTTAATTGCCATCAAGTCAGATCTGATTCATAGTGACACTGTATAGGGTTCAGAGGAGCAGTTGGTGGGTTTGAACTGCTAAACTTGTAGTTCACAGTCCAGTTCTGATCCTACAGTGCCACATCATCAATCCCTCTACTTGATATATATCCTAGAGAAATAAAAGTCATAGCATGAATTGATATATGCACACCTCTGTTCATTGCAGCATTATTGACAATAGAAAAAAAGATGGAATTAACCTAAATGTAAGCATGAATAAACAAACTTTGGTACATATACACAATGGATTACTGTGAAGCATTAAGAAATAACAAATCTGTGAAATACCTCATAACAAAAATTAATCTAAAGGACATTATACTGAGTGAAATTAGTGAATAACATAAGGACAAATATTATTTGAGACCACTATTGTAAAAAAGTCAAGAAAAGGCTTTCACATCACACCATTCATTAATGGTCACCAGGGATGAGAGAGAAGGGGAGTAACTTGCTGGCTAGAGCCTAGATACACGTTAGCATGGTGACAGGAAGGCAATGAACAATAAGGGGAAGGTTGGCAGAACAATGATGAAAGCAGCAGAAGACACAGGGAGGAGTGCAATATTAAAAGGCATAGAGGTAAATACTTTTACACACACAATTCTGCCATAAAGGTGATCTATAGGTATATACTCCCATTCTCTTTCCCTATGTACAGGTGCACAGGCTGAATGGGTGTGGGACAGAGAATGGGAGTATACCCACAAATATCTAAAGGTTTGACAGGATATTTGTACATGGGTATTTATCTTTGCTGAAAACATATCCATGAATGTGGTGAAGCATACATGAGGCACAGATATGAAAACTTCTTAAACATTACCAAACATCTTGAAGGAATGAGTTGCTGATCCTGAAGGTTCAGAACCATGGTCTCAGGGGACACCATGGGCAATTGGCACAATGTTCAACATCCTACTTTGCTTAGTAGTGACTAGAATCCTAAGAGCGCGTGAGCAGCTATCTAAAGTGCAACTATTGTTCTCTCACCATCTGGATTTAAAAAGACTGATGAAAATTGAGGTCAATTGGAAACAATTAGTCCAGTGAACTAAGGGACCACATGAATATCCATCTCCATGACTCTGAGACCAGAAGCAATAGATGGTGCCTGGTGACCACTACCAACTGCTCTGAAAGGGAACACATTGGAAGGTCCTGAATAAAGTGGAAGAAAATGTAGAACAAACTCAATATCATAAAAAGGACTAGGCTTACTGGTTAGGTAGAGAATGCTAGAACCACAAGACTGTGGCCCT